CTTAGTAACTTTTGAAAAACTTCAAGTTTCGTGGTAACTTCTCACACCCACACTCACATCCACACCCACACCCACACCCGCACCCACTCCACACCCACACCCTCCTATAACTCAGCAATAAATGATCGAATAAGGCTGAAACTTATACCATAGGTGTAACTCATTGAGACCTAGCAGCGACGAGAATTTCATCGATTTATGACGACTTTTTTGAAAAGCGGCAGTGTCCTTTCATCCTCAAGAGCCACTCGCTTAGATGAAAGAATTTTTATCATAGATCTTAGTTTACGTATAGAATGAACATGGAAAAATTCGCTTAAAAGTGAGTTTTGTCAATAATCTTCCCAGCTTTTGTGGTTTCAACGCAGATGATGAATATATTTTTAAATTCTAATTACGGGAAAGTACACACGATTCGCATATATCATATCCATTTGGTAAGCAACTGCAGTGCCATGATAAACCGCTGTTATACAATCGTGAACAAGCATCACAGATGAAACCAGGTTTGAAATACGTGCCATTTAGAAATCGGCGCTGTTCATGATTGCACCGTTGTAATTTATGGTCATTGGGACATCTGAGTGTTAGTGGACCTTGAAATAAGAGAACAAAGCAAACCATTACTCTCGGCTTTTGTGAAACCTAGCTGGAACGAATATTTAAGTGTGCATTGTCGATAGGGTCAAGAAAAGTTAGCGCTACACATAGATCCCGAATTTGGAGTTAACTTACGCATCGAAATTTCACGTATGGGTGATTCCGTCATGTGTGACAAGTTATACATGACTTCTTTGAAATCGAATTTAAATGGTATACTGCTGTACAGCATATCCGAAAACCCTAGTTTGTTATCAAAAGATCCTCTAAATGTCGCTTCTGTGAAAAGGTCAAAATTTCACTTGAATCTTCCAAAAATCATGGCTTTGCAATAAGATAGGCTATACTTGCCTTCGATCAATGAAAATATTTCATCTAAAGTACGAGCGAATTGCGGATACCTATATATGGTTTGAAAAGACGAGAAAAGCTGAATCTGAAAGCATATTTGCTGTCCTTTCTTGTATGTATTACCAGCAAGATTCTACATTAAAACTGAAGAGAGCTGCAACCAAAAAACGGGAGAAAACTAGCAAAAATTTCTTTTGATGTGTCTTTTGAACCAAGGGAGAAACAGCAGAGACTTCAGCCGTGAAGTCCCGTGAAGTCTTGAAAGTCTTTTGAAGTCTTCTGAAGTCTCTTGAAGTCTCATGAAGTCTTATGAATTCTTATAAAGTCTCTTGAAGTCTCTGAAGTCTCTTGAAGTCTTTGAAGTCTTATGAAGTCTCATGAAGTCTTATGAAGTCTCATGAAGTCTCTTGAAGTCTCATGAAGTCTCATGAAGTCTAATGAAGTCTTATGAAGTCTAATGAAGTCTAATGAGGGGTGTGCGTGTGGGTGGGTGCAGGCCCCTCGATATGGGCGGGGGGCTAGCCCCCGGCACTTTTTTAGCGTGTCTGCGAAAATTTTCTTGCTATTTGTCTGTGAAATTTTTGGTAGCGCTTAGAGTTCAGATTGAAACGGACTAGCTGTCGCAATGGTACTTCAGTACGCCTAGAAAACCTAGGTGAAGACTTTTTATTTGGTCTTCAATTCTGACTTTTGGGAAAACTGGAAGGCATTTATGAGTACTGTCTGCAAAAAATGATTAGTCCCCGCCACTCTTAAAACCAATCGAGAGCCCTGGGTGGGTGTGGGTATTTCTCTGCTCCTAACACGCCCGATACCCACAACCCACACCCACACTCACACTCGAACCCACACCAACACCTACCCACACCCACACCCACTCACACCCCACACCCACACCCCGTCGGTAATGGGGGGAGTATGTCCGTAATGTTCTGTTTCTCCGTTGCTAAGTGTCTGTAATGGGATGAGGAGAGGGGGGAGCCGCCAAACCTCGAACTGAAAACTACACTGATTATTTTCTTGGAAAATATACGTGAGTTCCACAAAACAGGCTTTTGGGAGCAATCAATTTTCAATATCATTCCTGTTCGTGGTTCTCGGAAGGCACTAGTTACTCTATTATGAATAAGGGTGTCAATATATATTTACTTTTCATTTAATTTACGCGTAAATTAAATGATAAATAATTTATATTTATAGTAAAGTAAATGGTAAATGACACCCCTACTATTTGATAAGTTTTGTTTTTTGCATGTTATAGAGGTTTCATGTAATTTCTATAAGGTTTTTGGATAAGCATGGAATCTGCCTCCTGAAGTCCTGTGAAGTCTTTTGAAGTCTTGTGAAGTCTTGTGAAGTTTTATGAAGTCTTGTGAAGTCTTATGAAGTCCTATGAAGTCTGATGAAGTCTCTTGAAGTCTCATGAAGTCTCTTGAAGTCCGTGAAGTCTCATGGAGTCCGTGAAGTCTCACGAAGTCTGTGAAGTCTCACGAAGTCTGTGAAGTCTAACAAAGTCTTTGGAAGTCTTTTAAAGTCTCATGAAGTCCCATGAAGTCTTACGAAGTCTTATGAAGTCTTGGAAAGTCATTTGAAGTCCTATGAAGTCTTCAGAAGTCTTTAGAAGTCTTTTGAAGTCTTGTGAAAAGATGAAGTCACTGCGGCTGAAGTCTGTTGAAGTCTTTTGAAGTCTTGAAGTCCGCTGTTTCCCCCTTGACCCGCACCCACACCCACATCCCACACCTACACCCACACCCACACCCACACCCACACCCACACTCACACAACCACACCCACACCCACACCCCACACCCACACCCCACACCCACACACACCCACACCCACACCCACACGCACACCCACGCCCACACTCACACCCCATACCCACACCCACACCCACCCACACCCACACGCACACCCACACCCACGCCCACACTCACACCCCATACCCACACCCACACCCACCCACACCCACACGCACACCCACACCCACCCACACCCTCTACGAGTTGCCTGTAAAATACAGCGTGGGGAGCAGACAGAATTTCACAAAAAAATATGTGCTCCATCAATAAGAACAAAAATGAATGTGAAATCATGGTCAGCGATCTGACAGAACAAAAATCAAGCAAAATTTGAAGCGTTTTTATGTGTGCGACAAATGTAAATAACTTTTGCGATGTCGGTGTCACAAGTGGAGAGAGCTCTCAAGCACTCCATGGGAAACAACCCGAGCGCGTATGCGAGAGAGAATGAGAGTGAGATTCACATCACCACTAAGAATGTGTACGATAAAGGCAGATTCGAAGAAAGTGATTTCAATTTTTGTACAGCAAATGCAAACAACTTCTACAATACGTCGCATTTGATGAGAGCACATAAGCACTTCATGTGGAAAAAACCCTGAGCGCATACTCGAGAGAAAAAGAGAGTTGAATTCGAGTCACTGCTGGCATTATGGATGATTGAAGTAAGCTGCAGGAAACCCAAATTCCGAGCAAATTTATTTTTCGATTTTTTTCCACAGTTTCATACAGCTTGAAAAACCGATCACGAACTGCTAGCTTTTATTTCCCATGGACCACATTTTTAGT